CAATAATTACATGAACATCAATCAACTTTATATCTCACAGCTCACTGAAGCTCTCTTTTTAAAAACTTTGTTTTGTCTATTTTTTGCTCTATGCTTTAGTTTGGATAGGTGCTATTGTCTTCAAATCTTCACATTTTTTCATCTTTTCTTCTTCAGTTGTTTAAACTTCTCCTGGTGTATCCTGGTGAACCTAGATTGTTCTTGTGAACATAAAGTGATTCCATTTTAAGGAGCTAGAGCTAGAGCTTGTAATTTTGTCTCCCAAGATGTTTCAGGTTGATTTCTGAGTTATGTAAAGACAGCCTTTGCAATTATTTTTAGATTACCTAAATGTTTTATAAACTATAATTTTCAAAATTTAAAATCTCCCTCCATAAATTGTTAGATATACTCAGAATTTGTCTTTCATTATGCACTTTTAATTCTGGAACAAACTTCCACTATATTTCAGGACGAAATAATTATTTTTCTAGAATACAACAAAAATTTATCCTATTACCTATCATACACTAATCCAAAAGATTGAAATTGTAAGAAAGTAATTGTAATTGTAACAAAGTAATTAGCTTATATTTACTTAGAAAACTGAGTGGTAATTGTATATTGACTGCCATAGACACAATAATTTTAGCAGGAAACAAAACTCATCAATAAAAACACTAATTTTGGGGGGCGCCTGGGTGGCTCAGTTGGTTAAACGGCTGCCTTCAGCTCAGATCATGATCCTGGGGTCCTGGGATCGAGCCCCGCATTGGGCTCCCTGCTCAGCAGAGAGCCTGCTTCTCCCTCTCCCTCTGCCTACCACTCTGCCTACTTGTGCTCTCTTTCTATCTCTCTGTCAAATAAATAAATAAAATCTTTAAAAATAATAATAAAAAAATAAAAACACTAATTTTTACAGCTATTCACATTCCTTGTTTACCATTTAATATTGGCAAAAATTAACATGTAAATAAATTTGACCCCAAATATAACAAAAAATTAAGAAGCAAAGTATGTAAAATTAAAATTGTCCTTAGTAGTTAATGCTAAATATTCCATTTTACTTAGATATGGACTTATTTTAGCAAACCAACGGTTATCCATTAATTAACCTGATATAATATCATCCCAAAGTTTTATCATCTAAGTTATCTAAATAATGTTCAAACTTACAAAATAGGAAACAATTACTGCTGTAAATTTTTTTATAAAAATATAATTCAGTATAGTTTATTAGAAATTTATGATTTTTATATTCATAAATCTTAAGTGGGTATACCCTTAGCTTATTTTATCAGTAAACAAATTTAAGGTCTTTAACAGGTTCAGATTAGTTAGGCAAACAGCATAGTTTGATTAGTTTGATTGGATTTTTCAGGTTAGTCCATTTTGGCTTCTTGGTTGAACTATCAAAATTGCTAAAATATAATTTTCAACAGATCAAATGATGGTATTTTTTAAATATAAAATGCCACTTCTCAAATGTTCTACTCATAAGGAAAAAAGTAAGATGTTAAGATTGATTCAAAGAACAATTTATGGGCTTAGATATTTATAAAAAATTTAATAATGGCAACTTAAGATACGATTGTTGGATTAATTTCAAAACTGACAAATATCCTGTTAAGCAACAATCCTTAACAATTAGAGGTATCTTTTCTACTAGACATAAATTATTTGCATTTTGATCTGGCAAACTCTATGTTAACACGTAACTTTACTAAGTCTGGGAGCTACAAGCAATAGTAAACAGTGAATCAAATAAATACATTCCCCTAGAAAATCCTTAGGTACGCCTTAAGCACTGTATAATATTGTAAGTACATCATCCAACTTTTTGCTTTATTTTTATCATTTGGATAATTTTCCCCAAAATTTTCACAAAATTATGCACTCTGAAAAATAGGCACAAAGTTTTTTAAAATTAAAAAATTATCTATTTTTGGAAGTGTTTTGAAAATAAAGAGAACAGACAGAAATAGCACTGGTAGCCCATCTCTTATTTTCATATCTATGTCTCAGGTAAGCTTATTTATGAATTGGATATTCTTTTTCTGATGGACATGGCTGACAGCTCATATAATGGTAATATTTTCTATTTATGACTCTTTGTGGATGTTTTCTTTATCTTTTAAAAATATATTCAGTTTATTTAAACTTACAAAAAAACACAGTTCACCCAATATAAAGATGTTTCCTTTATATTCATATTGAGAGAGTTAGGAAACTATAGTTGGATTTAAGAGTATGATTCCAAAAAGAATTATTGGTGGGGCACCTGGGTGCTTCAGTCAGTTAAGCATCTGACTCTTGATCTCAGCTCAGGTCTTGATCTCAGAGTGTGAGTTCAAGCCCTGCATTGGTATCCACACTGGGCATGGAGCCTACTGAAACAAAGATGAAAGAAGAAAAAGAAAGAAAGAAAAGAAAGAAAGAAAAAGAAGAAAAAGAAGAAAGAAAGAAAGGGAGGGAGGGAGGGAGGAAGGAAGGAAGGACAGAAGGAAGGAAGGAAGAAGGAAGGGAAAAAGGAAGGAAGGAAAGAAGGAAGGAAGGAAGGAAGGAAGGAAAAAAAAGAGAGGTCTGAGGCTATTAGGGAAGCCTCAGATCAAGGGCAAGTTTCTCCTAAGGATCTGTCCATCAGAGACTGAATATTTTCTGGCCAATCCTCTCCAAGATTCCAGTTCAGAAGTAGGTTTTCTTGTTTTGTTTTTTTATCAACTTCAACAATTTACTTAGAATTATAGGATTGGTCTTCTTGGTAATATAGAAAAGCATTAAGATACTTAAAATTTATTATATATTGTAAGTAAAAGCATACTTACTATCTAAATCTTATAGGGACGCCTGGGTGGCTCAGTCATTAAGCGTCTGCCTTCGCCTCAGGTTATGATCCCAGGGTCCTGGGATTGAGCCCCCCATCGGGCTCCCTGCTCAGCGGGAAGCCTGCTTCTCCCTCTCCCAATCCCCCTGTTTGTGTTCCCTCTCTCGCTGTGTCTCTCTCTGTCAAATAAATAAATAAAATCTTTAATAAATAAATAAATAAATAAATAAATAAATAAATAAATCTTATATTTGTCTTATATATATAACTTTCACTTCCCTTTCTCTTTTTTTTTGCAATGGAATTATTATTTAATGATTATTAAAGAAATTCGTGATGAAATAAAATTGATAAATATTTCTGAGTAACTAATATTATAGAAAATATAATTAGATAAAATATTCAAAGCAATAGTAACAATGAACTAAAACATTTGATTAATAAATGTGAAATAAATTGAAAGGGAAACTACAAAAATGAAAATGTACAGATTACCAGAATAAAGCTGAACTTATTTATAAGTAAATAAATCACAAGTGAATAAAACCCACGAGTTAAATGAGAAAATGCACAAATTG